CAGCTGTGTGATAAGATGGGAGTGGAACATGGCAAAGCAGCTACATGGATGTTGCCTTAGAAAATACATGGTGTTCAACACTGCTAGAATACCCAAAACTGTTTATAGTTGTTCACTTAAAATAACGCTACACTTTTCTGTGAGAAATGACTTGCCAGATCCATACGGGGAGCTTCATTTTCACTGTCAGTGCTATACAAAGCAGAATATCTGTATTGCTCTTTTGTTTCTCAGTCACAAATCTCAGATTGTTCTCCCTTTAAGACAAAGGAACAAAACTGAATGGTTAAATGTGCGATCAGAATTTAACACTTCAGATTTACTTTTGTAAAATTGTAACATAAAATAATATCTTGAAAAGCAGATAGGCTCAGAAAAAAAATCAATGTTGAATTCTCTAATATTTTGAAATGTCTGATTTATGTTATGCTTTTTCATTTCCTGTCTGAAAAAGAGTGGTTTTCATTTGTGCTGGGCTAGGTTTATCTCTGATGTCTATTCAGGAAAAACGACACAGAATGATGAACTCTGCAAAGCTGTCTAATTCAGATGATTTTAAATGAACTGCTGGAGTTTTGCAGTTATATTTGAATGTGTTTTGTGGCTCTACAGGGTAGTCTGCCACCATACCTGGCTGTTTTTCAGAGTCATTATCACACACTGAATCAATTGGTTCTCAGTATGTTGTGAATGCAGTTTAGTTCTAAGTAGAGTTGTTCAAATGTCTGACAATGTTTTCTTTATTTTATTAAGGAATGGAATAAATTTGAAAATTATCTTGTATTAAAGAACAGAATATTTTGATAAAACGTTCACGGTGTTTTTAGAACATCTCATTTTTCACGTGTACCATGCTTCCATCTGTGAATTGGGGAAAGTCTATGCTTATCTGGTCCTGTCTTGAAAGTCTATGAAGTACGACCAACACCGAAACGTTCGAGTGAGAGTCTTGGTCTTGATGTGAGACCGACGAGTATAGAGTCTCGCGTAGTAACAATCTCATTCAGATGAGGGAAGGGAACGTTGTATAGGAAGGTACCAACACTTGTAAGTCTCAAAATATGAAATGAACTGTCCTCAAGGAAGTACAAGAATTGGGGTCTACCAGCCTGCCCCTTGTTCCAAGTGTTCCTTGCTTTGCTTTTCTCATTCGCGATCCCTTCTACCCTAATCTTGTTTAGTTTTCTGTACTCTGACTCTTTCTTCCACACAAAGAAGGCCTTTGACAAATACTTATATTAAAAGAGTTCCAAAGCTTTCAAGGCTTATAGGCTCCAAGTAAATATATGTGCAAGGAAAGCAGGTTTATTGTTGGAGGGACCTAGGAATATTGAATAATAGATATTACAAGTGATGTCCATGTTAATCATGTAATTGTATTAGTGATAACCAATACCACCAGTTAGCAAACTTTCCTGTTCCATGACAAAAGCCGCAAGGCAAGTCTTATGGGTCAGATATTCAACGGTTTTGTTGAATTTAAACCAGCCCCAAAGATTGCACTTTTGCAGACTTATCCCTTAAAGTTCTCAAAAAGGAAATGTTAAGTACAGGTGAGGAAGACTTGTAGAAGTATTATGACAGATTTCACCTAGGGGCACACTTTATTAAAGTGGGGATATTTCTGCCCTCTTGGCTTTGGAACATTTGTGAAACTGATGCCCCCAAATTTGACCAACTGATCAAATTTCTTAGCAATCTGTTTAACAATCTGAATAAACAAGTGGAATGTTTCTTCCACTTTAAATGGAATAATCTTGGGAAAAGGCAAGTGAAGAAGTCAGTTGTGGCTCTTTCATTGCCAAAGTTAGTAAGCAAATAAGGAGGACACTAAGCTGTGACTTTGTAGTTGGCTGTCTCCGCCCTGCTGCCTTTTTAAGTGCTGTGTCCATTTCCTCTAGCAAAGGGCCGGTTCGGGGGTAAAACACAAACAGAGGGCAGACGGGGACCCTGGAGTCTGCAGACAAGTAAGTAACATGCTGACTTATGCAGTCTCCGGGGTGGTGGGGGTGGGGGACCTTTGTTGTAGATTAGTGGGTAAAGCAGATGAAAACAGAATTATATCTAGGATGCTTAGCTGCATCCGATTTGATCAATTAGGATAAGGATCTGTCTGCATTAGCACAAATATGTGGCTTGGTTATACATTAGAAGCACCTGTGAATTGCACATATTTCCATACCAGTAAGATTGTGCAATGTATACAATTGTGTCAGAAGCAATACTGTACCCATGTCACTTCCCTGGAAAAAGATGTATTTTCTGCATGGTGTATTTTTAGTAATTATCTGTATGATAATAGTAGTTAGCTAATATCACTAATTTACAGTTCCATGTTAGCTTTTTTTTAACTTAATTTTTTTTTATACATGACGAACAAAATACAAGCAAAAAGCAACAACAATATAACAGTAAAATCACAAAAATATATGTAATAATTAAAAGGAACTAAAGCTGAAGATTTAAAAATCTTGTTTCGTTTCTCTAAGCCAGTTGAAACCAACACTCACCCCCTTCCATTTCACTAATGGCAAGATGAAAGCAGAGAGGCATGTAGCTGCCGAATTTTCACTCTTGACAAATCTGTATAATGTTAATATAGAACTAGCTGAACTTTATGATATAATTAGATCTAGTCCATATAGAAAAACACTGTTCTCATGTTTATAGTACATATAGAATTTAAGAGATGTGTTCCTTCTTGATTTTTAAAATGTCTTTATAATGTAATATGTTTTCATAAAGGCACCACCTTGCTTAAGAGAGATTAGAATCTAACCACCATAGGACAGTCAGCAGATGCTAGTATATGTGAGAAAGATGTGAGTAATTATATATGTTTACACTGTCAGCAAAGATGCTTTGTTGCCTGAAATAAAGCCTAAATCAGTGTTTCTCAACCTTGACAATTTGGACTTCAACTCCCAGAATTGTGGACTTCAACTTCCACAGCAATGCTGGCTGTGGAATTCTGGGAGTTGAAGTCCACATGCCTTAAAATTGACAAGGTTGAGAAACACTGGCCTAAATGGTGCCCATTCTCAGACTCAACTGTAGCTGCCATTCCTCCCCCTCAAAGCTGCACCATTCTGAGTCTTTATGTATGATACTCTGAAGCAGATGCCACCCGAAGCAGAATACTTCTGCTCAGAAGAATGAGAAAAAGGAGCATGTCAAAGACCACCAAGTGGCTTTGTGACACAGATACCTTCTGGGGAAAAAAATTCTTTGAAATTTAGACATCCTGCGAACCCAGATCTTATTAAAGTAACAGGATATTTGGATTGTTAAGAGTAGAAGAAACGAAGAGGCTTCTTTTTCTGTTGGAGATCCAACAGAAAATTGGAAGTTTGAAACAGTGTTCTCCCAGTTTTTCCCTGAAAAAGTAAAAACATGGTCTTTGTAAATTATTTCCAAGCATTTTAAACTATTGCTCAGTGCTTTGTTCCATTATATTTCAATTGTTGTACTGCTTTTAATGTGTATGGTTTATTTTAAAGTTGCTTTTGTTATTGGTTCAGTTGTTTAAAACACTATAGGTTTTTATTTTGGTTAGTAATTATATAGAAATGCTTCATACGAATAGAATTATTATTAATGTGGAGACTTAGTTTATAAGGGCAATAAATTATTCAGCAACTGTTGCATACTAAGTCAATATATGTAGTACTAAATATTTTGCTCATCAATGAAAAAGTTTAAATCTCTTTGAAATGCTGACTTCTTTACTGTTTGAAATCCCACTGAAACATCCCAGCATTTAAGCCATGTCCCCTAAAAGTCTAAATGCCAGGGATGTGTAGAATAAAACTACAATACTAGAATCAGCTGGATAGAATCTTTATTTCCTGTTGCTTTGCTTAACCTATTGCTCTTTTTAGTAAAGTCTGACTGGTACTTCAATTACTCTCTCAGTTAGTACGGGTGATAGTAATGTCATGAATTTTGAAGGGAGCCCATGAGGGAAGAAAGTTGGGTTGGCAATAGTGTGAATTTAAGGGCCAACCTGTTTTGGGATGGAAAGATACATATTTGATTAGATGAGTTAGTGACAAAAATGCAAATGAGCATTTGGTGAGGGAACAATATCTATCTGAAGCATACTGTATATATAAAGGAAATAGCACAGAGAAAGAAAATGTTCCTGTGTAACCTGCTGGACTGATATATATGCAGAAGAGCTTTTCCTGCCATTGAAAAACCACAATCTCCTCCCACACACCTGGGAGTGTGATTTGGAGCTTCCAGATCTCTTCAAAGCAAAGGAGGTTTAAGTCTTGGGCAACTTTGGTTGTAAACATGGTTTCTTCCTTTTTCTCCTTTCTTTCTGAATTGCTTAGAAGAATTCATCATCCTGGGTCACTTAAATCTCCTCTAGGCTCTTCCTTCACAATCCTGCAAGAATTTATTTTAAGCTGGGGATGATTTTTTACTTTATGGAACACTTTGTTCCCACTGAGTGTAAGAAAAGCCTATTTGCAATATAACCTTTCTCTTATGAGCTAGGAAAGAAGGTTTATCTTGCTGATTCTGTAAACACATGCTGACTCAAGCTCCTTGTGCTGAGTTGGCAAACCAGATCACACCACCCTCTCTAGTTATAAACAGTCCACTGTTAAACTAAAAGAACAACTACATTATAAAGTAGGTTTTGACTGATTCTATATCTCTGTCTCTTAACATGGGCAAAGAATTATGTGTTCTTATCCATGCTGATAATCATAAGTGCTGCAAATTGAAAAATTCCCATAATACTCTTATGACATTGTGTAACCTATCTTTCACCTTAACACATGAATGCACATAAAGTGTAGGTGCCTTCTATCACAATTGTCCATAAAGTACGTCATGTAATATACTTGCAAAAGCTTTGGACCAATAAGCATCTTGTGGAAGGTTGCTGGCTCCTATTTCTTTCTTCTTTAACCTTCCTATCAATGAATGGGCTATTGGTGCAACTGAATATTTTTCCATTTCTTCAGGAAGAGAGCCTTGTTTTATCCTATAGAGTGCCCTGCTGGACTTTTCTTCTCTATTTTTCTCAATCATTTGCAACTATTGACAATTAATTCCCAACTCTTCTCCGGATGTCTTTTTTTGTAGGCTTCTAACCCAGGTCAATTTGAGAGTGACAGTGATGTACTTTGGCAACGCTCTCAGCTCCCTGACACTGTCTTTCACCATGGCCGAGTTGGCATCAACACAGACCGACCTGATGAAGCCTTGGTTGTCCATGGCAATGTAAAAGTTATGGGATCCCTTATGCACCCATCAGACATCCGAGTAAAAGATGACATCCAAGAGGTAAGTGTTCACTCCACCAATTATATTCAGTAGGGCATCTGCTTTGAATATCCACACTTTCACTTTAGTTTTCTGGACTGAAACTTTCATGAGCACTGAGCAAGTACTCCTCATTGCAAGCCAAAAAGAAAAAGAAAAAAGAACACCATAGACATAGGCCAACTTTTGCCTAACACTTGGAATTAGCAGATGTTCTAGTCTCAACAATGTTCAGGAGGCAAACATACAGAGGCAGTTGCTCTATTTGATACTTCCTGTGTTCTGTCTCACGGTGTGTTTCGTTGTTTTTTCCTACATCTTCCCTCATGTCAGGATACATACAGTAACTATAGTTCTAGTTAAGGTTCCATTATTGTACATGGGACTTGTTATGTCTTTAACTATATATCAACTTGTCTTTGTAAAATGCAATTGCAAACTTTTGATTTTAATACTTTGTGTTCTATATGGAAGGATGAGTTCCAAGATTGTCATGAATCTCAGGTTGTAACTTGGCCTAGTTTCACCTCCAAATCCCCAGTTTGTTTGTTTTTTTACTTAAAAATACTTTATATTAATTACTGAACACTGGATAAGATGCATTTGGATTTGAGAGCTTAGGAATTTAGTCTAAGCTTAGAGTTTTTGCTTAGTTAAGCTTAGACTAAGAGTTTAGATACCTCCTTAAATGTATATATATATATATATTTCTCAGTTTGATATTCTAAATGATTTACATCCTTGCTGATTTTTATAGAATATACAGTACTTTATTCTGTAAAGGTCAGCACAGATACTAAGTATTACAGCCAATTATAAAACTGGACGGGCTTTGCTTCGGGTGGTAGGAAATAGTACTAAGTCTCCTTAGTTTTTAGAAAATTGAAGTGCTGTCCTTTACTCAAAAGGGATTCAAATTTGCTGGGATTCAAATTTCCACTACACCAGGGGTGTCAAACTCGCAACATCACATGATGTGTCGTGACTTATCATGACTTTTTTTCCATTGCTGGCAGTGGGGTGGGTGCAGTTTGCTGGCAGTGGGGTGGCAGGAAGTTTGACACCCCTGCACTACACCTTTTCTATTTCTATCAAATATGGTTAGGTGTAACTATCTGGTGCCTGAGTATTGAAGACTGCAGAGTACTTTTATGGGTTTCTTTTTCTTATAATTTTAGGTAGACACCACAGAACAACTGAAGAGAATCTCCCGTATGCGGCTGGTGAACTATAATTACAAGCCAGAGTTTGCTGCCACTGCTGGCTTGGAGAATACAACTGAGACAGGTACATACAACTGAGACCTCAGGCTTAATTTACATTAGCCAGCACGTCTGAAACTATTGATTACAGTTATTCCATGGACCCACATATTCTTGGCTTCTCTTTGATGATACTTGCTTGTTGATTTGGCAATGATGTTATAGTTACATATGACATTTTATCTGAATATTGTTTCTATACTTAGAGAGTGTGTTTTTGTCTAATACCTAAGTATTTAACACTGTACAAGATAGAGGAAAATTATTTACCAAACATGATTCATCATGATGTGAAAACCCACGCTTGATACTCTTGCTTTTACTAAATGGAAACTGAATTACTTTAAATGTAGATTCCAAATACTTTATGTGTGAAACTCAATTCCTTCAAGGAACGCTTAACTGGTGACTTTAAAGATATATCTGTACGTATATGGGATGTGCTTTTTACTTCCCAGTCAGGCGTACAGTTTTTTGTAGGAATCCCATTCAAGTATTAACCAACCCCATTCAAGTTAGCTCCCAACACCAGACAAGGCCGGCCAGAATCTGTCACCTGTTGAGATATTTTCTGTAGCACTTTTCATAATGAAAATGTATTCATCAGGCCACTGACTTTAACCAGTAGCAATGTAAGCTTAAGCTCACCTCTTAGTTGAAGGAGTGTAAGGATGTGATGAAAGTAGTGTGTTTGATGCGAGAGTTCCTGATGCCAAAATGATTCTGGCACACAAATATTATCTTTCTATTACAATGAGCTTTCCTAGGGCTTATACTATTTCTAAAGTGAAAAATGTAAAATAAGTACTTTGCTGCAGTTGTTGCTACTGTTTATAAAATAATACATCTATTTAAATTACACCTTTAATTGTGACTTTTCCTCATAAATATCTTCTATAATGGCACTTATTGGGCTCAAAGCTGTTATGTTTTATGTTGTTTTTTTCTGCACAGGTGTTATTGCTCAAGAGGTAAAGGAAATTCTTCCAGAAGCAGTGAAGGATTCTGGGGAAATAGTCTTTACCAGTGGGAAAACTATTGAGAATTTCCTTGTGGTCAATAAGGTGAGTGAAACTCTTGGAAATAAACTAGCAACATAGAGTTAATATTCTGAAGAAAATTAAATCCATACAAAGTCTGGAAAAAATATTTTTTTCACATTTTTTTGTAAGTTGCATCTTAGATATTTTGTTTACCAGTGCTTGTTTTAGGAAGTGCCAATAACCACATTTGTTGGCTTGAATTGATGGGAAGGAGAGAAAAAAACCAAAAATAGGAAGTCTGTTAACAAGAACAAATTGGTTCAAATCATTACAGGTGATTTGGTGGAGAATAATAAGATAAGTGGTCAGTCTATGTTTCTTTAAAAGCCTTCAGAAGAGAAGAAAGGACAGCTCTTAGTTCTTCATATGTCTCCCACATTTAGCTTGACTTCAAGTAAAACGGCTTATTTTTTTTATAAGGACCATGAAGAATTTAATCTAATGAAAAAGTATGCCAACTACTTTTTCACATGATATACTAGTGAATGTCTTCCCTAACCTACATGTAGGGCAGATTGTAGAATAACATAAACCCATACGTATCCTTATCTATTGAATGTTTATTCTATTAAAATAAATTGTATACATATTTTAACATTCTAAGCCACCCAGAGTTGCCCTATGGTAAGATGGGCAGTCAATAAATTTAAATAATAATAATAATATTTAATAATATACATATAATGTATTATAAAAGGTTTATTTTTTGAAAATATAATAAATATATATTTTTGTGATATTTTTTAAAAAAATTGGAATACTAATGCTGAGATGGAATAGATTTATGAATTAAAAAATAGAAGACTGATATGGACCAGAAAGAGACCACTCTTACATTTTATAAACCACAGTATAGAGTTGTGGTTATCTGGAAAATACAATTTCACATTTTGGTTGGACTACCGTTAGTCTTGAAGATAGATATCCAATTTTTGATTTCTTAAAGATAGATAATCCAATTTTTGCTATCTCTTTCCTTCAGTCTTAAAGCTAGATATGTAATTTTTCATGATGATCAAAAGTGCATTTACATGGGTAAAATGCATATGTCATTGCATTCATTCCTGGAGATATCAGATATGATCAATAATAGATATGACCTTAATAATAGCAACAATTGAATTGGTTTCAGAGCTGGCATGTGCTATAATCGGAACTTGTAAAAGTGTGAAAATTTCAGCTGGTCCAGAATTTTGTGCTGAATATTATTGAGGGGGCCACTTATAAGAAGTTTGATTGCATCCTTTAAAGCTGTGCATATTTCTTTCTCAAAAAGACAAATCTGCCCAGGGTTTAAAATCTACAGAAGATGACCTCCCAGTTCCACCATGATCAGAGCCATGCTTGGTGGAAATATGGAAAAGGGCCTGTCCGCATCTTTGGAATGCGTTTCCAGCAAAGTTAATATATATATATATATATAAGCTTTTTGTCAAATGAGATGGATTTTAATTTGATTGGATGTGTATTATGCCTTTTTATTGTGATATTTGTGTTTTAAACAGTATATCTTTCCATTAGTTACCTTGAATATCATTTGGAGTGGAATTTAGATTCATTAAACTGTACATAAGATTTTTAGGTACTGTCAGAAAGCAGTCTTTCTCCAGAAGAGAGAAGAATGGTAGTGAGCAGTGAACTAATAGTACTGTAGACATATGAAAAATACCTGCTCAGATAGTTTGAATTTCACCATGTGAATATGAGAAACTCAGAAATCAAAGAAGGAGTGGAGGAAAAGTTTTGAGATTAAAATCCTTTCTTCAAAAACGGGCTTTTGTGTGCTACTGTTACATAAGTTGCCTCATCACAAAGTCTCTGTATCCACATTTTTCTCTACAAGTTTTACATAGTGAAAAGATTTTTGCAAAAGGCCCACAGTGAGGAAAGTGTCTGTTAAGTCACTTTGCCTGACGTGTTAAGTTTCCTTTTTAAAAAAATACTTGTGAAAACAAAACATCCTCACCCTTTGAAAATAAAAGACCCAATCACAAGGTAAGGATTTCAGCCCATCAGAAGGTCTCTGTACAAAAGGAAACTTTGATTTTGTTCATCGCAGGAGCGTATTTTTATGGAAAATGTTGGGGCTGTGAAGGAGCTCTGCAAACTGACTGACAACCTGGAGAACCGGATTGACGAACTAGAGAGGTGGAGTCATAAACTGGCCAAGCTCAAAAGACTGGACAGTATGAAGTCAACTGGAAGCTCTGGAGCATTCAGGTAATACAAATACCTGACTTTTAAAGATACTGTAACTCTTATTCAGCTTTGGATCATAATATGAAGTGGCCACCTGGAGGAAAAGATTCTTGACAGATTTAATTCTCTATCACAAAAATAACTTGTAGGTTGCAATCCTATGACTTAGAAGCAGGCTTCATTGAGCACAGTGGCACTTTTAACTATATTAAGATTTTAACTAATAGAGAAGCTCATAGAGTTTTGGAAAAGGTTCAGATATTTTCCCAGGCTGAAGATTTAGTTCCCTTTCCAAGAGAGGACTTTTTTTTCTCCTTTTACCATAATTAGGACTAATATCATGATATTTCTCTAATCCTTAATGAGAAGGGGAAAATATTGCACCATTCAAGCTCTGGACTATATGAGTGTCCATTGTGTTTCTGAACTCTCCCAAGATAAATGTGGATGTAAATCTGTATCTTTAATCCCATTCTTGAAAAGGCCTAGAGAAGTACATTTTCAAAGGATGGCACAATCAGATAAACAATGCAACAAATTTGAAGATAGGTTCATACTTTTAATGGTTCCTTGTGCAAGAAAATGTATGGTTCTCCTTACGTTTGGTGACTTTCCACTTTTTTTTTTTCATTCATGTTCTACTCCTAAATGTTTTGCTGCAGTTGAGAATACAAGCTGTTAAGTGATTCTCCTAAGTCTTGTTTCTGTTTTGGATAAAGTACTCTAATTAGTAAGAGCCCCATTTTTGCAGTACATATTTGTGCGTTCTGAGCATGTATTTTGTTTGTATGTATGTAGCATATATATATATATACACACACACTATATATACACACACTGTATATATACATATACACACTGTATATATATATAGTGTGTGTGTGTGTGTGTGTGTATTTGCTGCTTTGTTGAACAACTGTTAGAAATGGAAGAATGAGCGGGACAAAAGTGCAATAAAATATGCTCATTTAGATGCAGTATAATTTTGTTTTTTTAATACAGCCAAGCTGGGAGTCAGTTCAGCCGTGCAGAAAGCATGCCGCATAAAAAGAGACCCCCCAAAGTGGCAGGCAAGGTAACTTTTTACAAAGATACGTCACTTGTCTGATTTTTTGTTAAGGGAGGTATCATTGGAATATTCTGGTCTTTGATAGGAGATGCGGGAGCTGGTCCTCTGATTCCCTTACTGTACAGATTGTGTGATACTTGAAGATATGGAAGCAAAAGATTTGTTTGAATTCTGAGCAACGTCATGTTTATTCAGAGTGTTTATTACATTGTCGAGTAAATCCCAGCCTGTTCTGCAAAAGTTAATATGCTATCCTCTGTCATTTATAAATAATATGAATTCATATTGCAAATTATGTTCATCGGCTGAGAATATAAATTCACAGTTGATGCGGCTAAGAATTGCATTGTGTGTGATATACTCTTTGATGCGAAGTTCTTTTATGAGCTGGTACTCAAATTCATTTCATCCAACGGCTTTCTGTTTTAGTGATTTGTAACTTTTGCTTTAAAAGACTTGCCTCCTGTGTAGCTCTGCCACTCCTTAGCCCAGGGGTCAGCAACCATAAACACTCAAAGAGCCACTTGGACCCGTTTCCACGCGCGCCAGAGGGGGGCGGACTTATTTGAAGAGTTTAATTAAAAAGAAATAGAGGGTACTGTGCATGAGTTCTCTCTCTCTCTCTCTCTCTCTCTCTCTCTCTCTCTCTCTCTCTCTCTCTCTCTCTCTCTCTCTCTCTCTCTCTCTCCCTCCCTCCCTCTCTGTCTCCCTCTTTCTCTCCCTCTCTCCTCTCTCTCTTTCCTCTCCCTCCCTTCCTCTCTGTCTCCCTCTTTCTCTTCCTCTCTCTCTCCTCTCTCTCTTTTTCTCTCTCTCTCCCTCTCTCTCTCTTTCTCTCCCTCTCTTTCTCTCTCCCTCTCTCTCCTCTCCCTCTCTCCCCCTCTCTTTCTCTCTCTTTCTCCCTCTCTTTCTCTCTTTCTCTCTCCTCTCCCTCTCTCTCCCTCTCTCTCTTTCTCTCTCTCTTTCCTCTCCCTCCCCCTCCCTCTCTTTCTCTCCCTCTCTCTTTCTCTCCCCCTCTCTCTCTTTCTCCCCCCTCTCTCTCCCTCTCTCCGATCTTCTGCTCACCTGGCAAGCTGGCTTCACGCTATTCTCCAACAAGCTGACACACATTCTTATTGGGCTGGCTCTCTCCTGCCCTTCCTGTTTCCTGCAGAGACGCAGCCAAGGCAGGAGCCCCGCCCAATAAGCTTGTCCAACTCGTTGGAGAACAGCGTGAGGCCACTCTCTTTTTACACACACACACACACACACACACACACACACAGAGAGAGAGAGAGAGAGAGAGAGAGAGAGAGAGAGAGAGAGAGAGAGAGATGGGAAGCACAAGTGCCTCTCTCTGTCTCTCTGTCTCTCTCTCTGTTTCTCTCTCTCTCTCTCTCTCTCTCTCTCTGTCTCTCTCTCTCTCTCTGCAAATGGCAGAGGAGGCTGGGAGCTGTAGGAGAAGGCTCAAAGAGCCACATGTAGCTCTGGAACTGCGGGTTGCTGACCCGTGCCTTAGCCTATACAATGTTTTTCATTAAATAATTTGTGAATATTTATTCTTCCTTTGGGAAGATTTAGATAAGAGTTCCAAAGATTCCATAGAAAGTACAGTTTGCTATTAACAAAAGGGCAAAGCAACCTATAGGAATCAGAACTAAATTTAGTCAAGCAGACATCTGACATGATTTTTCCCTTTGCCTTTATTTTGTGCAGACTCCTTCACAAGGAGTCAAAGACCAAGCTTGCATCAGCCAACGTTTTCTGCAAGGTACCATTATTGCTCTGGTGATCATCATGGCATTCAGGTGAGTGACTGCACATTTGGGCTACAACGCATTCCTTGGGTTGGTGCAGCACTCAGAATGTGTGAGAGAGCCTGCTAGCCAGTGAGTGAATAGATAGGAGCGAGTAGATAAATATATTTGGGATTTTTCTTTGTGTTCTTTGTTCTGGCAATGTTAAAACTATTTTAAGAGTTACACTATAATAATGGCAGTTATAGTCAGTTGATGCTTTAAAGGTATTGGAAAGGAGATAGGAGAGAATAGGGATAAACCTGTGAAGTAGAACTCTTTTTAAATCAAAGTCACTTACATTCATGAATATAAGTAACAAACAAATATAGCCTGTTAGAGTAGAGCTCCTATTCTGTCTGAAACACAGAAACTCTATGTTTGGAAACTTCATTTGATGTTTTCTCTTTCATAGTGTGGTGTCCATGTCTACACTCTATGTGCTAAGCTACCGCAGTGAGGAGGACCTTGTGGATATTGAAGGGTATGTTTCCTCTTCCTGGTCATATGCTTTGGAAAGTAATTGGACTCCCATTTGAGCTGAGGGAAAATTCTTAAGGAATTTTTGATGCAGATGTTTGGGGCCAGCCTTACCATTTCGAGATGGCAAAAGAATAAGACAGTAAAGGGTATTGAGGGTAAACATCAGCAGTTGAGTGCCAGCATCCCACATGCTACCTTAAGAGTAGCAGCCAAGCTATGACTTTCAATTAAGACTGGGCATACGTTTAGGATATTTGTTTTCATGACTGCTTCTTAGAATTTATTGCAATTTATACATTCTATAACAAAATTCTATAACAAATGTACATAGACACCATGAAATGTGTACAGGTACACATCATTAGGATCTGTTCTAAATAGTCATTAAGCAGTTTCTAGAACCTGTGCTGTTTTATGTAACTGTCCATATGTCCTAGCTGTATACCAGTTTGAAATGATGTATTTTGGATAATTCACAGTGGAATGTTAATTACTAAATTGACCTTTCTCTTTCCCTCTCCTTTGCTTGCTTTTTTTTTTGCTCCATTTATTTATCTCCCCCAATCCCTCTCTATCCACTCTTTCCATCAAATGCTCTTTGTAACAATTTCCTTGTTTGGTTGGTTGTTCCATTCCTCCTTTCCTCTTCTGTTTTTGATGCCTTGTAGCTCTTTTGCTGTGCCTACTACTTGCCTTCTGGCTCTTTTTCAGCACAGAGGTCCTGGCGTCCCAGTTGCTCTCTGTCCATGGTATGGTCCTACTTTTTCAATATGCTGCAATGCATTTGTCCTATTCTTTCAAATCTGCAGCCTTGTGTTTTTATGCATTCTCCCTTTTTATATCTGTCTGCTTCTTCTCAACAAAGGCAAACAGGGAAAGAGATTTTGTAAGGCTTAAATTGGTATACTGAAGTCAAGCTTAAATGATGTGTTAAAGTTATAGTTAGTTTGAATGTGCAAAGTATAACATGAAAAATACGAAGATTGAAAGGGCTGTTCTTAATTGCAAGAAATCATCATTTTTAACGAATTGTGTTTCACTAAATAGATTTGGGTTGCAGTCAGACTGAAAACAGGATGATGTAAAGTGCTCACTCCAAATTCATAGGTTGATATCATCCTCCATTGCTGCAGCTAACGAGGCAACATTTAATAGAATGTAAAGGATCTAGGACTGTACTAGAAAAGTAAACAGCTCTCAGATTCCTCGGACCATTTCTATGCTTGCAGAATGTGATGTGCAGTTATATGCTTATGTAGCTATAAGCTGAAATAATGTAAACAGGTGTCATCAAGTAGAAAATATGAACAGCTAAGCAAACCAGGGAGGATCAAATTTATCAAATTCTGAATTATGCTTGCAATCTCATCCTAAGAGTTTTCTGTTATCAGAATGTTCTGTTTTCCAGTGGAAAGGGATGGGTTTAGAACTGATTTAAAGCAATGTTAGCCCATTTGCCCTTTGTTACTTTGTCAAACTATGTTCATATGTTGAACTAAGTTTATTCAGAACAATAATTTTACTTTCCATCCTATTTTCTGCCCCCTTTTTATTTTTGTAATGGTTTTAAGTCTTCAGATTACAAACGTGACCTCATGCACAGCCTCTATCTTATTCCATCTCTTTCCTTTGCTATGCATCTGTTTCTGTTTTATTGTCAAAACTTCATGCCTTCACTTTTCTTACATTTTAGGTCCAGTCAGAACATAGATAAAAATAAGATGACATTTTCCACTACTGCATCATCAAATACCCCTGACAATGCTTCCCCTTCAGAGCATGGTAGGTACCAGTTGTTCCCATCCCCAGGTGCATTTTAGTCAACTATAGGCAATTTCAAACCTCTATTTCCATTCTGAATGCCTCAAACAAAATTTGAACACAATTTGTTTTGTTTTCTCCTGACCTTGAAATGGGACAGTCATAATGCAAGGACTGGTTGTAAAGTTACTTTTTAATGCTGTTGTAATGTCAGGGGTTACTAAAAAGGATAGTCATTAAGCAAGGACTACTTGTAGAGTAGCTACAGAGTTTCAAAGCTAGAAATAAATTGGCTCAGCTGTGAACACAAACAATAGTGTAAGATCACGTGGCATGAGACTGGTTTTAGAATCTCTGCACATCTGAATCCTGGATTGCTCACCTGGATTGCTCACCTGGAGATCAATACTGGATTGCTCACCTGGAGATCCAAATATGGGAGATGTGATTGATTCCCCTTAGGATGCAGACAAGAAAACAGTACTGATACATTAAAGATGTAGTAACATAAAGCTCTGTTTAAAAAGGGGGCTCTGCTGTTCACTAGAAGATTGGATTTCTGGTGTGGACAAAGTCAATCCATGTGACTGCAAGAGGGAATTCATCCAGTTTGAGAGAAAAGACAAATTCAAGGATAATTTTGTGAATTATGTATTTAATGCAGGAAGCTAATTGATGCTGTTTTTGGATTTGATACAACTGATCTTGATTCTGTTGTGCTTTTCTTACAGCCACAACCCACGCACCTGACTTGTCCCTTGCCTTGCCTGCCTATAACATAGTCGTCTGTATCAACCCACCTTGTTTTTCTACCTGTTGCTCTTCTGTTCCCAACAACATATCTACTCCTGGACCTTCTGGGACCACTACAGTCCCCACCAACCGGATAGGTAAAACCAATTGGTCCTATCTACTTATTTATTTAAGAATTTACAGTTATAGACCAAAAAGTAGGAAAGAACATTAAAATGGAAAATACCTAAGCTAAAAGTCCACTTACAGCACAAGCTAAGCATGCCTTTGTTATGCTCAGAACCAGAGACTTATAACTGCCATTGCAGAATTTGGCCACAGTGTTGGTCATTTTAATAGGAAGCAAACACTTGCTTCCTGAGATCACTGTGAGAAAATTGTGATTAGAGGAGAGATTAATTGCATCCTCCAAGGATAATAGGACATTTCAGAAGCACACATGCAATTGTCAAAATTTCAGATCTGAACCAGTCCATTAACTCTCTGGAGATACTGTTCCATCTCTTGGTCAAGATCATTCAAGGCAGAGCACCTGAGCTTCCCCCCCCCCAAGTGGTGCTGTAGCTGCAGCAGTAATTCATATTCATTTATTCTGTCCTGAATATGCAGAAGTAGAGCCAGATTTGGGCGGGGGGGGGGGGGGTGAGGGAAGAGAATCTGGATTACCCTGTGTGAATGTTGTTCTGCACCATTTAGTTACACTATTTCCCGTAATGCTGTAGGTAGTTCTCTGCTATGCAGGTAGTTCTCTGCTATGCTATTGTGTTAAATGGATCAGTATCTACTGGCAAATAGATATTTATTTGCTATATCACACCATAGCTACTTCCACAAACTCTCTACAGTAGTTAAATATATGTGCCTAATAACGAGGATGTGGTTGTATAACGGTAGCTAGTTTTTTTGATACCTTTGGTTATTAGACATTTGTACATCTGACAGTACAGATGTACTGTAGCAGTAAAGAATCTACATTCACAGACTCAATTATTTAAATAAGTATTGTAGCCTTTAAAAAAAAAATCAGCTGCCTTAATTTGATGTAGCAAAAAAGGAAGAATTACAGTAACTTAAAGACTGTCAATGGTTTTGAGCAACATTCAATGCCAAGAGGTTTTTTCATCAGGTAAATGAATGTTTTTCTGTGAATATTTTTTACTCTTCTCACCTAATAGCAGGAAACAGAGAAAATCTGGGTGATAAAGCCATATTAACACCATTATTTACATAAAATTGAATCAGTTTCAAAATATTACTCTTGGGGGGTCTTAATCGTTTTGTTTCAAGGCCATTCTGTTGGAAAATTTATCTTGCTCTCCTACTTATACCTGATTGTTGCATTCTCTTTGGAATTTGCAGAATACAATAGTCAAGATTATTTAAATATTAGAGAATAGTTTGTATGATTTTGGTTTCTTAAGGAAAGGGATAAATTCAATGTGTGTAGAGATTTAAACAATAATTTTGGCTTTCCTATTAGTTGGCTAGTGCAAGCAAGTTCTTACAGATGCATTTTCCGCAAAAATGTTTTTATATGGAATTACATCTGTCTTAAGAAACTCCTGCAGGATTTTCACTGAGAACGTACAGTATATACTGTGTTTCCCTGAAAATAAGATCGGGTCTTAATTTTATTTTATTAATTTTATTAATTTTTGCTCCAAAATACTCATTAAGGCTTATTTTCCAATTAGGTCTTATTTTAGGGGAAATATGGCACTAAATGCATCTGTCTGGCTGATGATCTTAACTGGGGCTTATTTTTGGGGTGGGGCTTATATTACGAGCGTCCTGAAAAATCCTGCTAGGACTTATTTTCCGGTTGGGTCTTATTTTGGGGGAAACACGGTATGACTAAAATGTCAGAATGCATAGAAACTCTCCTAAGGGAATTTTCATCTATATTACAAATTAAAGTTTTTTTCTTGTACAAATTTAAGATGTAAAGAAAATAATGGTTTTAGGCTAGCCTTTTCTCCAACTTGCTAATTTATTATATAAAGGGATTTGATTTGTACGTCTGGTATGAAGAATTCAACCGTGTGAGTCTACAGTGTTGGAAGCTAGTCACAGGTTTATCATCTCTGAGAATTATGCTGTCTTTGATGTTACACTTAGGCTCTTAGCTATCTATCCATTGCTGATCCCTTCTTAAATTAGCTTTATTAATTTTTATTTTGCTGCTCTGTTTTTATAGGCCAAAACTTCGTGTCACTCCTACCAGTGACAAACATCAAAGCCAAATCGAGGGGGATCACCGGCAAGACAACTTCCCACACGAAGTGGCCAAAGACTGCTGATCGATCCCGGGGCTTTGGGGGTCCCAATGCCAGCCCCTCCTCCCTCTTTACCAACATCCAGAGCAAGTCCAAATATATTGCCAACCTCCCTCTCACATACAACAGCTTTCCTTCCGATCAGATATCACGACGGCAGCGACGGAGCATCAGCCAACCAGATGCTAAGGAACCTGGCATTGCAAGCACCAAGCATACTGGTAAACATATTTCCTATTTTCCCTGATTACTTGGCAATAGAGACAATTTCCACCATCTCTGCTCATCCTACCAGAACTAGCAGGGTGGCATGTTAAACAACGTCTTCTTGTTGGACTCAGGAATTGTTTTTCTGTGGCTGTGGCTTAGGGAATGTCCTCCCTCCAGAATTTCAGATTGCCTCAACCCTGTTAGCCTTTGACAAGACATTAAAGACCTGGCTCTTCCCCCAGGCATTTGGGCCAGGAGATTGTCAAGATCTGCCAGTTACTGCTGCTTTCTTATAAGTTTGCATTACTATTTGTGATCTTGGGAGTTACGGTTTGAGTAGTTAAAAATGTTGTTTTTAGCCTGATATATGGTCCAGAGATGAGAGGGGAAGACATACAAATCAAATAAATAAGTAAACAGGCATTGTTTAACGGAGGAAGGAAACATTTTTTTGCCCCCAAAGAAGACATGCAGGAATAGATCATGGTTCAGAGACCGCATAGTATTGTGGCCAAGAGCAGCAGCAGCCTGGTCACACCTTGTCTCTTGTATGTGTGCTGAACCTGCATGTGCCTCATCCACCACTTTCAAGCAGAAACATATAATCTTCAATTATTGTTCTCAACTTTGTGTGTATACCCCTAATTCCAGTGGTGGGATTCAGCCGGTTTGCGCCCATTCAGCAGAACCTATACCTAATTTTTTGTTGAGTTCAGCAAACTGGTTATGATAAAGCTGTGTTTTCCACAACACGTCTGGTTTTCATTCAACTTCCTTCAAGGTAGGGAAAAAAAAAACTCTCCCCAAAAGTCCAAGAGAGGAGCAACGGAAACCAAATGGAGACCCAGGGCCTTCAATCACATCAGCTGCCCACCCGCCTCTTCCCTTTCATTCCCCTCCCGAGCCGGATTGGCATGCTACGGTGGATGGGCCTTAGCCAGTCCCCCTCTGCCGTTTCGGAGCTAGGGGGAGTGACAGTGAAAGGTTCTGCTGCCGCTGCGCAACAGCCACATCTGCCACTGGAAGGGCTTTCTTCAGTCCCCACTGCCTCCTTCTCCGCCAACTCTCCCGTGGCTTGCGCCATGACTGCTGCCTGCCTCCAGTCCTGGTATCCCTCCGCCAGCCCTCTGTCGCCGCAGCCACACTTTCTTGCCGCCCTGCATCGGCCCGTGTCTCCCTTCTCCGTTCTGGAAATGGCTGCCCCGTTTTCTGCCGCTTTCCTCCCAGCAGAAGTGAGTAAAGGAAGGACGCTTCGTATGGAAGGACACTACGGTAATGTAAGCTCCGCTTTTCAAGGGCTTTGCAGAATCATCGGGGAAGGGGAGCCTGGCCTTCCTCGGCCAGCTCCAGCTGACGTAGTTTTCCCGGAGCTTACTGTAGTGCCCTTCCATACGAAGCGTCCTTCCGTTCCTCCCTTCTGCTGGGAGGAAAGCGGCAGAAAACGGGGCAGCCATTTCCAGAATGGAGAAGGGAGACGTGGGCCGATGAAGGGCAGCAAGAAAGTGCGGACCAGCGATTGCTGCCCGGAGGAAGGAAGGAAAGAAGGAAAGAAGACTTAAAGGAAACCTGGGGAAGTGAAGGAAGTTACCGTAAGCCGCCTTTCTCCCTTTCCCAGCTGGGACGGAGGCAGCCCACACAGGCTGCTGCTTTGTGCAAGCAGGTGCAACCCTGGCGACCGAGGCTCCTCAGAGCCGCTTGAGAAGTTTTGTTCCTGGGTAGTGGTGGATGAAACTGACTACCCTGCAGCAGTTTTCCACCTCAGGTGGCTTACTCCACCCCCCATTTGCTTTTAGTGTTCAGGGAAGCCCGTGCCTTTATGTGCAAACCATGTCCTTCTCCCTACTGCAATCTGGCTCTCCCCAGTTGACTAATCATTGGCCTGTAGGCATGTAGGAGAGAGCCAGTTTGGCGTAGTGGTTAAGGCATCAGACTAGAAACCAGAAGACCTTGTGTTCTAGTCCTGCCTTGGGAACATAGAATCTAGGTGGCCTTGGGCCAGTCACATTCTCTCAGAAAGCAGGCAAGGGCAAACCTCTTCTGGAGAAAAAAAATAACTTTCCAAGAAAACTGCAGGGGTCAATCATCAATAGTCAGGATTGATTCGAAAGCACCCCTGATGGGTAAGCAGGAAAGATTTGGGTTGCAATGAACCAATGAACCTTTCCTGCTCTGTAGCTACAGATTCTTCACATATATTTTAACTATCTGCAAGCACCTCCTTGGTATATCGTGCACATCTTTATTCCTTCTTTGCTTTCCTCCAGAACATCCCCATTACTACCAGCCATTACATTTGCTAGGGTAGTTTCCTTTCAGACTCTGATGACTGGGACTATAGGAATGGTCTTCCTAGGACAGGCGTCTTCAAACTTGGCCCTTTTATGACTTGTGGACTTCAACTCCCAGAATTCCTCAGCCAGCGTGCCTGGCTGCGTGTAAAGCTTTGTGAGGTGATGGCACGCATACATCCTTAGCAGGCATGAATCCCACTCCAAGCTGTCTCATTTCCCTTCAGCTTGGTTTAGGCAGAAATATATATGGTTGCATTAGTTAGAAGGAGATCACAGTCTTAAAACTTCTCTCTGTAGAATGATTAGCATTTTGTGGAACTTCCTATGCAGAGTAATCTCCTGCTCCATCTTGATTATTTCTGTCCTGTAGAAATGGCTCCTGTGCTCCAGTCTGTGTCCCTGTTGGAGGCGAATGTGGTCATCTTACCCCAGGTCTGTGCTGCAGGGGATGATTGCAGGTAAGTGGGAGCATAGCAGCCATAAGCTTTGTTAAACTGGGAGTTCTTTTTTGTAGTATATTTTTATCTGAATTTTTCAGTGTAGTAAATATTCAGAACAAACAAGAACAAAGATAGAAAATAAGAAATAGAGGAAAAGAGAGAGCGAGAGAGAGACAGAGAAAGAAAAAAACATTTATGACATTCTGTCCTTTTTTCGGTCAAGTAATAATCATTTTAAAGTTTTCTCCAACTCTTCATCCCTTTTTAACCTTCAAAATCATCAAATTGTTTTTTCTGCTTTCAACAAATGTCCACATATGGTTTCCAGTCTTTCAAAAATGTCTTTATTGTCTTTTCTCTGACCAACCTGGTCATCTTTGCCATTTTTGCAAATTCAGTTAATTTTATACTTCAGTATTCCCCTGTAGGCATTTCATTGCTTTTCCAAGTTTTTGCATACATCAGACAGGGATTCTTAAAGGTCAGATTCCTAGGAAGGAAATTGTGTTTACCCAGATAACTAAATAAGCCAATTTAGGAATTTTTTTTCATACATCTTGGTTGCCAGTGATGAATGATGGAATCGTATTTGAGTGAATACATAACGCACAGCAGGAAAATATGAAGATAAGCAAAAAATTGTGGTATATCCTTTTTTGTTTATTCCTGCAGGACTGGAAATATCACTTATCGCATTCCCATCAGCAAATTTACATCAGTGAACACAAATCTTACTTTGGAAATGAAGTAAGTAAGAACTTTTGGGAAAGCACAGATTCTGGCAAGGAATATTGTAGAAAATGTTGTTGCAAAGGATAAACAGTTAATAGGGAACCAGGTTGAGAAAGGAGAATTCCAAAATGATATAAATAGTTGATAAAGATGTGATATCTGCTATCATTTCACAAATTGAGAGTACTATTCTCAATATACTTCACAGGAAAATAGTACTGAGTCATGAGGAAGATGGGAGACAGGGCCTTTGGGGAGGCTTCACAATCAGGTACTTGTAAATCAAACCTGGTTACCCCATTTAAGAATCCTTATCTTTCTCATAGGGCTGAAGATTTCACAGAGACAGTGAAATCCTTTGTAGTGATGCTTTTATTTATATTTCTATACCACTTTTTATCTCATAATCAAGAGCAGTTTGCTGCAATAACCGTAAAATGGCCACAGACAAAAATTAAAGTCTGTCAGTGCTACTTTGGGAGGATGCCATGTATTTCATATCCTGACATGCTGAAGATAGCAAGTTAAGTGTGACACGAAAGAAAATCTGTCTGTTGAAAGGGCACATGATTTTTGCGCAGAAAAAAAAAATCAGGTTTGGTCTCTGACATCTCCAGTTGGGCTGCTGCAAAACCTCCTTCATTACACTCCAATGTTTTACTGTAGCAGATGCTGCTGGTTATTGTAAGCTGCCTAGAATAGCCCCATGGCGAGATAGGTGGCCAATAAATCAAATCAAATCAATAAATAAGTACTAGAAAACTACTGTCAGGACAGAATGGATAGGCCACTGGGAGTTGTAGGCCAGGAGCATCTGAAACACCACATATTGTCTAATCTGACGACGGGCCAGTGTTGCTACTTTAATACAAGGCACCTTCTGTACTCTTAAAAGACCATTTTATTCTTTTGTGTGCCTTACTCCACTCTGATATTGGCCTGTATATTTAGACCTGGAAAAACCAGACCAGTTTGGATCAAGGAGTCTTTATACTATTGCTTGTTGCATTGTTTCTAACGTATCTTATAAAATGTTTCATATAAAGAAAAGAGGAAATTAGAGAAGTGGCTTGCCAGTTATCATGTTCAGGATTTAGATTTGTTCAGAATAATTTTGCAAAATGTAGCTCTGTTATTCCTTGGAGCCTAAAATACTTTGCTTTCTGCTGTAACATAACAAAGATTTTCAGTCTTTTCTTCCTGCCTGCAAAACAACAGCACCTCTGAAAAGACTCCAGGGAGATACTTCAAAGGAGGAAGAAGATGGGGGAATGCATCCCAGTGCTATGGTGCATTCCTTCCATTTCAAGTCCAAGTCTGATATAGTGGTATACAATTAGGAATTGTGTATCTTTGGTGGGTGAATGTGCAGAGTGAGAAAAAAGTACTTTACAGTGAGATGAGAACATGAATTCATAGGCCAATATACTGTAAATAATGGCATTTATATTAGTACAAATGCCAAGAGGAGGCTGTGTTGAAAATGACTTGCTCATATTTGTTGCTTTCTGTTTCTTTCCTTCCTCTCAGTGCTTCCTCAGCTGTATCTGGCTATCTTTGTAATCTCACATCTAATAGCCCATGTCTGCACACTGACAGTGACCTAGACAGCTTGTCGAATGCAACAGACATTCAGGTATGATATTTTTTTTTAAAAAAAAGATATCTCAGAAAATAGGGGTTTATCTGCTGGATAACGTATTTGCATCTATGTTTTTGTTTATAATAGAAAATCAGGTTTGTACTTTCAATTTGTTGTGTACTAATTAGACTGATCTCAGTTTTGTTTGGAACAGATATTGTTGCCCTTATTTCTTAAAAATCATTCTTTAGTAATCTGCTTTTTAAAAAACTGACTGTAACACTGATTCATCTTATCTCCTTTGCTTCCCCTTCTCTCCCCTTGTCCCTTTCAAAACAGAAAGCTTGAGCACATAAACCCATCTTTAAATAAGCTGAACCTTGAAATGTTCATATGTTTTAATGTTCATGGCTTATCCATGTTTCATAATATTTTGATTAAAAATTTTAACCATCTTAGATGCAAGTATATATGAGTTATACACATACTTTTAAAAAGTATTACTGTATATACACGGAGAGCCAAACTTAGGTTTTTTTGGGGGGGGGTTGTTTTGGCACATAAAATTCTTGGCTTATTCGCAAGTATATATGGTATCTTGCTGTCCGTTGTTCTCTAACACCAGTTTCTTGCTAAAATGTGGGAGCAGAGAGCAAAGGAGATGCAATTCACTTTAACAGCCTGGGAAGTGGGGCAACATTAAACAGCAACAATAGCTTTCTTTCATCCCAGGTATTGGATGTTCTTTTTTTCTAGGGAGCAACATACCGTTGGACTGTGGTTATGATGCCATTCCAGGAATTTACTTACCATTTCCGATTAGCTAGGCCTGTGAGTATCAATGCCTACCATGTCCTCTCTAGCATGCATTTGTAAAGCATATTAGTTCTTAGAGAGGAAAAAAATGAATATAGCCAAGGCAATGAAGTTGCCCTTTGGTAACGAATCTCCTTCTGGCATCACATTAAGTTGAACAGTGAATGAACGAGAGTTGCAAACTCCTGTTAAATGAGACAAATGTAAGGATTATATGCACATGTACAATATGTACAAGGATGGTGTGAGTATCTCATATTTAAATTCCAGAACTGATAAGTCTGGTATAGATAAGAAATGATTCTGTGTCCATGGGAAGGATAATGTCTAGATTTCACAGGGATGCTTATTTCATTTTAGGATTAATCTTCAGTAGAGAAAAATAAGTTCCTCTGCAGAGTTAATTGAGAGGCTTTAGGAACACTATGAAATTTCTTACCATAGTATTGGGATTGCTGTTTTTGCTGTAGTGCAGTGTTTCTCAACCTTAGATATGTGGACTACAATTCCCAGAATTCCCTTGCCAGAATGGAATTGAAGGCCAAATAACTTAAAGTTGCCAAGGTTGAGAAACACTATTCTAGTGCAACTACCTGTGTGAGAGCACAGGAGAGACTTGAACTTTTAGGGAGCAGATTTAAAAGTCTGGGGCTTGTAGAGGAAGTCAGATTTACTGACACAGGATATCAGTATAAAGATTTCTGTGCCTTAAAAACACACAGAAAATTAGCCTTTCTTCATAAAATCGGAGAAGCGTTCTAGTGATCCAAGGGGACCCATTCAGAGTATGAGCTCACTTTTTATTTTGACTCTAAATATGAACTCATTTACGTTTATTCCAAAAGAAGTAATAGTTTTGAGCTAATGATCCAACCAACTCTCTTTGGTTTGCTTCCCAAAAGGTAAATTGTTTCTGATAATGATGGCTATTTGCGAACCCTCATGGTTCCCTCAAGAAGATAAGAATTCCTCTCAGTAAAAAACAAACAAACCCCACCTTCATTTCCCTTGAACCTTATTTTTTTTCCCATTTCCTCCTCACAGGGCCAAGCTAACTGCAGTACCCCTTTGGAGCAGATGGGCTCTCTCTTTCATGACTACTATTTCCAGTTTTATTGGCTCTGTGAGTGAGTCTCAGGAATACCTGCAGCCTTTTGACAGAAGCAGAAAAACGATGGGCTCCAAGACTCTTTTGACCGAATACTTTCTTCAAAGAACACCACGCCCTGACTAGTTGCTTCTAATCAATAAGCTCTTCCTTTGGGTCTGAGTTACTTTGGTTTCCTTCCTAGCAGAGGGATGTTAATCTTAGAATGTCATACTTTGGGAAGGAATACTGCCACAAGCAAAACAAGGAAATACAGGGGCATTTTGTTTTCTTGATTTGCTGTAGGATGGTAGAATTCCTCTGGCTTGTGAGTACACTGGATTTTAAAATTTTAGGCTTGACCATGCTTGTGTTCAGGCTATTTGGACATCTCTGAACTGAAAGATATGGCTTGTCTGGAAACAAAACTTGGTGCCCAGAAAGTCAGTGAAGCAGCTTTCTAAGGCAAATTTCTTACCAATGATGTGTGAAGTCCTATTCTAAAATGGAAACACTGGATCTGTCTGAAAAGGAATTATATCTAGATGTGTTGCAAGTCATACACTGGAATTTTCAACTTTTTAGCTGGCAGTCAGATGCTTCTCTTTAAAGCTATGCTTGACAGAAATCCTGGTGACACTGGAATTCAGGGCTGATAGGTTGTTTTCAATAGCAATAACCAATGGAAAAGCTATGGGGTTTACCTCTCACTTCTTCCTGCATCTATCTTACTATAAATGTGTATTCGGCAGACAGCAAACCTCATGGACCCTGCAAAAGCCACTCTCAGGCAGGCCACATTTGCACCCAAAGTGCCTTCTTTTCAGGACTGGATGAAGATGCTTCTTCTCAAGAAGATAGCTCTCTTCTTCAAATATACTTGAGAAAATAGCCTCTGGGCTCTACAACTGGACTCCACAATGCTGGTGTCATAATAGCATTGACTGAACTCTTTTAAATCCCATTATCTGCCGCTGCCAAAAATACATTCGTCCCAAAGAGAATATGGAAAAACTTATAGTATTAACCCTTGTGCCGGAAACCAGGAAAAGGAGGCCACCAGAAGGAACGTACCCAGTGCTAAAAAATATCTACACTGAATATTTTTTAATTTCTAAGGGGGTCACAGGAGTCTCTGTGAGATAACAAACAAAACACTTTTCTTCATTCTAGGCTTTGAATATCCTTCATATTTCAGGTAATTTACTGTTACAAGATTTTAATTTGCTAAACCACTTGGGGTTTTTTTTTTTCACCAAAAAGAGAAAAGAAGCAGCAGCCAACATTCAAGTCAATTATTGATTGGCTTGTGTCTCATAGGAAACCAAAGTTGAGTCCACACTGAGTGCCAATCTGAGCCAACATTTTGAATTAGGTGCTGGGATAAGTCAGATGTACAAGCACAATGTCAAGGTATCAGCCTTTTGCCCTCAGTTCAAGTTCAAAGACAAATGAGTTAGGTTGGTTCAGGCCCTGGCTTTTTTCTTTCTAATATAGTTAAATGAGTTTTATGTAGAACAAGGAGATGATCTGATGGGGAAAGTAAGAAGCTGCTGGCTCAGCTCTCTCAACCAGAAGGAAATTACTGTATAGTGAATATATGAAAAGAAGCGTCCCTCCCTTTGGCATATTCTAGCCACCCAACACTGCAAGCTTTTAAATTGGATTACTGTAGTTAAAAATTACTAAAGTAGCCCTTGGCTATTGGTATTTTTTTAAAGCATTGGTGTATTTGTGAAAACATACAGTAGTGTTGCCTGCATTCCTTGCTGGAATTGCCACATTATTAATTTATCTATTACCAGGTAGGCATACTTTTAGGCTATTACCAGTCTTGCGTATTTGACACTGCATTGTATATCTATGCTAAAATTTACACTTCCCGGAGAAAAATGATAGCTAAAAATAGTTTTATGAGAACACTACTAATAAATGTATTAATATGTATGCTAACCTAGCAGTTTGAAAGCATACAAATTCGAATAGATAAATAGGTACCAATTTGGTGGGAAGGTAACAGCAATCTGCACGCCTCAGTCATGCTGGCCACATGACCACGGAAATGTCTTCAGACAACGCTGGCTCCCTCAGCCAGGAAACGGAGATAAGCACCACCCCCTAGAGCAGTGTTTCTCAACCTTGACAATTTTAAGGCATGTGGACTTCAACTCCCAGAATTCCACAGCCAGCAATGCTGGCTGTGGAATTCTGGGAGTTGAAGTCCACATGCCTTAAAATTGTCAAGGTTGAGAAACACTGCCCTAGAGTCAGACACAACTAGACAGGGGAAATGTTTACCTTTACCTTTAACCTGTTTTCACAAAATAATGTACCGGTCTAATTGTTCTTCAGGATGCTTTAAAACGAGCGGTACTTATGAATGCAATATAAAATTAATTTGTTGTTAATGATTGACATCTTTGGGATGCTGTATGTTGTGTGCCCAAGAATAGTTCCTAAAGAAAAACAGCAGCTGGGTAATTTCTATCCACTGGGAACAGTGATGATCTATTTGATGACGTAGGGAGGAGAAGACAGAAAAGGCTTAGTTAGGTCCCCCTCAAAGAAAACAGACAGGTAAAGAATGGCATGGCTGTCATTGCTAGTACTTGCCACCAGCTGGCGTTGTTGCACAAGAAAGAATTAACATGAATTAACAGTTTTTGGTATATATAGAGATACAGTAAGAGATTTAAGGGGCAAACGGGCATGAAGTAGGAAATCTATAATACATACAGTATTTAATTTGGCACTTAATTTCAGATAACTAACAAAACTCAAACTGGAATTTTAATTTATTGATGTCATTACTATAGGTTTTAAACATTGAAGATAATATATACTTTAGGTAAGGCTCTCCGGCCAAAAAAAATAAAATAAAAAAAATAAGTTTAAACTGCAGTCCTGTACTCACCATTCACTGATGAGTAACAGAAAGAAATGAATTTGAGTTCAGCAAACTTCCATAAGGATACACTGCTAAGCACTGCTTATTGGAGAATTGCACTGATTGGTGCTTCAGTGCAGAATTGAAACAGCTATAATAAGAGCTTCAGTTATTTTGAAGACAGCCATTGCCTGTATTTCTCTAGATCAAAGGTCTCCAACCTTTCTCAGTTGGCGGACCGGCGAGAAAGGGAGGGAGAAGCATTTTACGCGTGCGCATGTGCACACACACAAATAGGGCCACGAGCACGCATGATGCAAACGGGGCGGTGCTAGCGCCTGTGTGACACTCATTAGCACTGCCCTCTTTTCGCCACATGGCGCCCGTTTTCACCACACGGCCCCCCATTTTTGCCACGGTGTCCCGTTTGCATAGCAGCAGCGGCGCTAACATGAGGATGAGCATGCGCACACATGTGTGCACTGGCCAGCCTTTTCCATGGCCTGCTGGCCAGCAGGCCACAGCCTGATAGTGGGCCACGGCCCACAGGTTGGGGACCCGTGCTCTAGATCATCCTTGATAACATTAGCTTCTCTCTTCACCCACTGTTCTGTTTTCCTCTTTCCTTCTACCTTCTTTTTTTCTCCTCCTCCTCCTCTTCCTTCTCAGTGCCTTATTTTGGACATAATTGTAACAGAGCCAATGTAAAGGAGAGGAGAGGAAAATATTGTACATTCTAATGTGATTTTTTTGGAGTCTCTTTTTTTCCTCTGTACATACACTTGTGTTCAGAATAACAAGAAGAGTAAATGATGAAACCATAGGCCATATAAAATCTTTCTTTTATGGTTATTCTTGGGACGCAGTCCATTTAATCATGTAAGCATTTATCAGAGACCGGTATGAGATGAAACAAAATGCTTAAAAAGGTGTGAGGAGGTTTTGTCCATCCGCAACTGGTGAATATTTTATTGCAGTTAATTTCCTTAGCTTTAATCTCCCTCAAGTGCAACCTATAAAACAATTGGAAGAGGACATTTCTTACACTGCCTAGGTGGAACCTAGGATTGCCATATCAAAGCAAAATACCGTTTGAGGTATCCACTGGCTTTTTTTAATGCCATGATAAATTAATATAGCATGGGGGGGGGGCATCACTCATAAACAATAATGCTTTCCATGTAATTCCATCCATTTTTTTGGAACTATTCATGCCTTTGTCCATTCTTATTTATTTGCATTCAGCCTTTGCTAGAATTTAATTCTTGCTTATCATTGATAAATACGATTGGTAGTTATTCAGATCTAATTCAAAGCATATTTTGCCTTTCTAGAACCTATTTCACATAAAGACCTAATCATGCAAGTATCCAGCACCCCTCCAGCTTCCTATTTTCTAGCAATGAAATGCAAGTCAAGATGCACATTTACTCCCCTCAGAACCCTACTGGACTGTTATGACCAGGCTTCTGAAGGCAGTGTAAGAAATGCTGCCATTCTAGAGGCTTGCCTCAGCCCTGACACTTTTTCCATGTCAGGGTTAACCTCTTTCTTTCAGCTTCCCACGTAGTGGGACCTTCCAATGTTATCCCAGTCAGATGGATAGAAGTCCTGTAATGGAGCCCATCTAGTTAAAGTAATGCAAGTAGTAACTCATAGAAATGGAAGAGTCCGTTGTTCCTTTTGATTGCATCTTAGCTCTAGTATGGCTCTTCTCAGCAGCAAGGTGCCAAAATACTCCCTTATTGCAAGCAGTAAGAAATCTTTAAACCTGTAGTTAAGAGCTATTCATTTAAAAACAATCTGATGAGGACATTCACATTTTCCTGACTATCCCTTTGCCTACTCCTCAGTACTGATATAAATAGCTAACCCACCACTGTTTGTTATCTATCCTGATCAGGGTGAGGCAGCAAAGACAAAAATGACATCTGAAATAAAATAACCAATCACTTTTTCTTCTCCCAGTAGATCCAATGGAATTGGAGAGAAGGTATCTGTGTTTATATATAAGTATGCATGTATATATGTATGTGTGTGTATACATACACACAAGCACACATATACATATATCAAATATTTTTATTGGCAAATTCACATTAAAGTTGTCTCCGATGTGCATAATCTTTTATAACAAGTATTGCTCTTTATATTACACATTTTATTGTTTTAAAATGCTGTAACACTGCATCTGTAATATCTCTTTTGTCTCAAAATGCTTCAAGGTATCAAGTGTGGGAGAGAGAAAATTAGCCAAAAAATCAAAGCAAATTAATAACCACCAATGCCTCAGTTATTAGCATAATCACATACACTGGACCTTTTGACCATACAATCTTTACTCATCTTGTTTCAGAACATTCCTTCCCATTTGCATTAATTACAGACTTCTCAAGAACAAAATCGTGATTAACAACTGTATCTGTTCCTCTGCCTGATAGAGATAGGTTAAGAGATGGTGCTTCCTGCTTAGTTGGTAGCTCACCTTTCTAAGAGCTGAAATTCTAACTATGCCTCTTTAGACATTTGGAGGAACAGGAAGAAAAAGGAGGGTGGACATGGAGCCAGCTTTTAAAGTTTGGCTACTCTGAAGGTTAGGAATGATTTCTCAAAAGGAAAATCCATACACTTTTTGTACTTTCATTATTGTTAAAGCTTAAAGCCTGTATATAAATATTTTATGCCATCACTGTGAGCCTTAAGGAATATAAAGCACTAATTTGTTTTGTTTAAAAGTTGCTACCACAGCTTTAATCATTGTATATTGTCTACAATTTCAAAGTCATATACTTAGTGAGTTACTATGTTAATGTTTTATTATTTTAGTTTGGTGGAGAATAAGTGAAGTTGCTTTGTTGTCTACCACCTGCTTTTCCAATTTGTATTTATATTTTGTTCTTGTTTTGGAGGATTCCTCTACTTTTGTTTGCTTATCTAGAGCCTTAATTCTTAAGAAATGTACCTATATAAATAAATACCCAAGTATACTACTTTGTATCCAAGATTGGCTCATCACTTATTCTTCCACTTCAGTAGACTGAATTGTTACACACAGTGCAATTAAGGATGCAGATCAAGAAAAAAACAATTTGGTTTAGATATTACACATAATATGCCACAAGAAATATTTGGAGATATTGAGGGATAATCATGTTTTAGATTAATGTTCCTATCTGCAGTTTTTATATACACTTTTATTAAAAATGAGAAACTTTGTCAGATTAATCAGGAAGATCTTATATTTAATTTGTTTAAATTTTGAATTAATAATAATTGAATTAGTAATAATTGTCATTGGGGTTGAGCCTTATTTATTTCAATAGGGTATGTCACCAGGAGCAATGTAGCTATTATTGGAAGCAATGGAATTCCCACATAACAGTAATGAATAAGTTGGTAATTTTGATTTTAACATCTTTGATTTTAATATCCACTTCCAGATTAAAGCAATGAAGAACTGATTATACCAGCATCTAAAGAAGCAGCTTTATTTTCAGTTACCTCAGATACTTGCAAAGTTTAACATTCTGTTTTAAATAAATGGCAAACTTAACACATTAACTAATTTTAACCTATAGAATCTAATATATCTGATGAAGATACTGAAATCTATTGTTGTGAAAGTACTTCCCATCCTTTTTTATTAATGGAGCTATTTTGTAGTTTATCGGGAAGGATTAATATAGAATCAATAAATTACATTAATCAGGTCTTTGATTATTTACTTTGGGATACTGTTTGTGGAGTTTAATATTTTTGTATGTTTAGTCTTACATATTAGGGATATAGGGTACAATCAAGGATACTTTCATTGCGTATTTTAAAATAAGCCCAATGTTTAAACATTTGCAACTGAGTGCAAAAGGAAAATATATTTCTTCATTTCTGCACTTATTAAATGACTCAGCAATTAAATGCATTTTAATTCTTATACACTAAAAGGAATCTTGCATTGAGTCTCTCGTTAACTGCTGCAGAGTTTTTCTCGTGTTCTTATCTGTTAATTTAACATGGCAAAAATATGCAGCTTCCATCAGTTCATAGGCTTTGGAGGCTGCACCCTGAAAATAGCAATAGTAATAAGCACTTAGACCAGTGGTTCTCAACCTTTTTAATGCCGCGACCCCAACCGGTCGTAAGTCGAGGACTAAACCGGTCGTAAGTCGAGGACTAAACCGGTTGTAAGTCGAGGACTACCCAACTGGTCATAAGTCGAGGACTTTCCCTGCCCGGGAGCGCCGCGCATGCGTGGTTCCGCCCCCTGCGCCGGCCGAGGCATAGCTGGCAAGCGGCAGAGACGGAGCAGGCCGACCACCAGCTGGCCCAGCTCAAGGGAGGTAAGGCACCCGCCGGAAAAGGGGGAAAAAAATGGCAGACAAAAAAAATGGCGGACAGCCTTGCTTGGCGACCCCCATGAAATGGTCGATTGACCCCAAATGGGGTCCCGACCCACAGGTTGAGAACCACTGACTTAGACTTATATACCACTTCACAGTGATTTACAGTCCTCTCTAAGCGGTTTACAGAGTCAGCATTTGCCCCCAACAATCTGGGTCATTTTACCGATCGGAAGGATGGAAGGCTGAGTCAACCGTGAACCAGTGAGAATTGAGCTGGCAGCCAATAGAAATAGCCTGCAGTACTGCATTCTAACCACTGCATCACCACAGCTCATAATGCAAGTGACCAGCTGTCTGCAAGGAATATAAATCCTTCCATTCCCCCCATCCAGTCAGAGCTGAAGAAACTTCTTGGATGAGAAGCGAAATGTCTTCAAAGAAAAACAGAAAGTCCAGTTGCCTCTTGAAAAAGCACATTTGGGACAACCATATCATGGATGATTGAGAATCTCCATAGACATATTATTTCTCTATTTCTCTCTCTCTCACACACACACACTTACATACACACTCAATTCAAGTGGTCAAAGTATCTAATGTTCCCTCATATTTTCTCAACAACAACCCTTGAGGTGGGCAGTTGCCTCTTGAAAAAGCACCTTTGGGATAACCATGACCTAGATGACTGAGAATCTCCATAGACATATCATTTCTCTTATTTCTTTCACACACACTTCAAGTGATCAAAGTATCTAATGTTCCCTATTTTCTCCACAACAACCCTGTGAGGTGGGTTGGGTTGAGAGAGAATGACTGTCCCAAAGTAGCTTTTATGCCTAAGGGAAGCAAAAGCCTAGAATTCTGGTTTCTAGGCCAATCCCCTTATCACTGCACAAATGAATTGATTCATTTATGAGCCAAAAATGTGAAACGTCCTATTTTCTGCCTTTTCAAAATAAAATGCAGAAGAAATTATTTAGAAGTAACATAAGGTAGCCATAACATAGAGGTAAAGTCAGTGTTATTTGTAATGCATGTGACTTATCAAAAAGATCATTAGGTGAACTGCTGTCTCCATGTTGTTCTCAAAAGGAAAACACTATTGCAGCAAAAATAATCTTCAGCACCTGAAGAACAAATACATTTGTTGAAATCGTTCATTTAATCAGGTACAGAATCATCATCAGAGCAGTGGAGCACTCTGGAATATGTAGGGTCATGCAGCTACTATGCAACTGGTTAAAGCAGCAGCAGTAGCTTTTCCTGAGATCATGTATAGGAAAGATCCAGGTATTTCAAAAGAGCTGAAGACACAGGTTACCTTTGCACCCCTAAATGTTTTAAAGCTCATTCATCTCCCTAAAGCAGGATGCACATAAGCCTCACTCTAAATGTTAAACATTTGTTCCATATATCCAAAAAACATACAGTGAATTGGATGCATCGATAAACTGAAATGGTCATCTCAATTTCTCATTCTTGGCATTTTGCATTGAGATTGGATTTCAACAGCACACCACTTGACTATCATCTGCTTCTAGGGAGCTCCATCTTTTTTTTCCTACTGAGAATATATACGAACCCAAGGCTAACTATGGTTGAGACCAGCCAGTGAGCAATGAATGAATCTAGACGGATAGCAAAAACAACACCTCAGAGTATAGCACAACATTCAGCTTATCACAGATTCAGCTTTATTGATCTGACGTTAGAACTCTCACATGTTAGAATTATAGTCCAGAACTGTGATAAGCCACACTGTTCAATAAAAAAGTAAAAAGGAGGTGCAGAAAGGCTTCTGGAACCTGAAATGGAGGGGAAAAAAGAACAAAATTGGGTCATACCATTTCTTTAAAGCTTTCCCTTACTGCTTTCCATGTCACTATCCAAAAGAAGACAAATAACATGGGATCAAAACCTCAAGACTCAGGTAGTACATTAATAAATACCCACATACCAATATATGGTGTTTCTATTGTGAATGATTGAATCTTGTAACTTACATTTTTCATATCACATGGATTCTTTGGTTAGAATAGTATAAATATCTGCCTAAATAAAATTACTGTCTTCAAGTTTGTCTTGGCCACTGAACTCCTAAGTCACCCTCTGCTGTGCAGGAATCTAAGGTATCCAAGACATCTAGTCTCCATTTGAAATACATTCAATGGATCTACTACCTCTCAGCATAATTGGTAAAATTATGGTAACTATGACTGCAAATGAAATGGGCTTGTCTTGTCAGAATCTGAACAAGCATGTGTAGGTTGTAGGAAACTAAAGTTTGGAAATTTACAGGTCGAGGGAACTTCAACTTCAGCAACTCAGAGCTTGGAAAAGGACACACAGCAAAATGTATGCTGTTGAGGTGGATGTTGTGAACGAAAAAAAGTAGCAACATCTTCCTTCTTTTTCTCGACAAATCCAGTCTTATTTTATTAGTTTCCTATTCTCATTAGGCACGGGAAACCAGCAATTGGTTGAAACTTGCTTGTGGAAAATGTGACTGCTCAGTTCCATAGTAATCAACAACTGAAAGCCACTGGCCATATCTGATCTGTTTGACTAAAAAACTACCGGTCATGTATGCACTCTTGTTTAAATATAACATGTGGTGCCGCCAATGGCAGGTGAGGTCACAATTTCCACCTGAAGAAGCTTCTGTGTATTTAGTAACATATCTGACTGGCAATTGCTCATCTGCAGAGAAATCTACCAAGCAAATAGCAGTTATCATAGAAACATAACCGATGGTTTGATACTGCAAGGAAGTAAACTTAGGTTAGATATTTGGAGGAAGTTCCTGATGCTAAAAACTATCAGTAGAATAGATTGTCTCTGGAAGAGGTATAGCCTCACTGAGAGTCCCAGTAGCAATCTTCCCAATGGTTTTAGCAGATCCTGCACTGAGCTGCCTTCAAACTCTGATTCTATGAAATATCAATTGACTGTACATACTTTTCAGTGAAGTGAATTTTTTTATAATATGCTATCTTCTCCAAAATGTTTAGCATTTTAAAACTTGTTTTTGTATAATATATATGTAGAATAAGTGATATTTCTAAAGAGCTGTTACGTTGTTTCTAATGGCTGCCTCTAAAATGTATACCTACCAGCTCTTATGTTAAAACTTTATTAACAATATGAATTGCTTTTATTTCATTTTAAAATGAAAATAATGTATATTATTAGGTTGTTTTGAGTATTTCAAGCTTTTTTATAAAGTTAATTTGAAATTTAATATTCTTATACTAATAGTGTAAGCCTACAAACAGCTATTCAAAATTAAATCTTTTTGAAAACTCATGAGACCATGGCTAGTGTTCTTGAGACTTAGTTTTGGATGCTGAACAGTTTGTCCCTGTATTTCAGTTCATCTTAGTCTGCTGGAACATGCTTAGCGTTACAAGCAAGCAGTCCTTACCACTTTACGACCACAGCTGGGAACTGCAATTTCCATTGCTAAGCAAGGTGGTTAAAAGTGTCGTGCATGGTTTTACATCAGAGTTGTTAAGCGAATCAGTGCAGTTGTTAAGTGAATTATATGGTTGTTAAGTGAATCCAGCTTCACTTTCAACTTGCTTGTTGAAAGCTGGCTGGGAAGGTCACAAATTGTGATCATATAACCCCGGGATGCTGCAATTGTCATAAATATATGCTGCTTGCCAACTCTGATATGATGTGATGGTCGTAAATATGAGGAGCAGTTGTAAATCACTTTGTCAGTGTTGTTGTAAATTCAAATGGTCACTAAATGAACGGTTGTAAGTCAAGGACTATTTGTATTTACATTGCATCTCTAAATATGCTTTTTTAAAGTTTCATCTGAGTTTGTTCTATACACTTATTAATCAGATCCTTATTGTTAGAAGGCCCCAGCATAGTATTTAACATGTCTCACCTGAAATAATCCTAACCACTGTCACACATAGATTCCGACCCACAGCAATAAGAAGAGAACTCCAAAGCCCATGAAGAGTGATGCTACTAGAGAGATGAGTAATTCTTTGTAAATGTCCCGGGTATACTTGGTGGATGTCACTTCATAACTGAGATAGTAATTAAAGGTATAACCAGACAGGTGTACAAAAAACCTGTCAATGTAAATTGGAAAAACACACAATTGTTTCCTATATATATAATAGAATGACAACTGACTGTACTGATCACCTATCTTTAACCTAGCTCATAATACAGAAATTAAGCAATCCTTTCCTTGCCAAAAATAAAGGAGAGACTAATTGATCACTTTCTTCAGTTAAGTTAAACAGAATGGAATGAATTGAAGGAACAGAAGCAAGTTAGCAACTATCCTCAGCTTCAGTTTTAATGGTAGCCATTAAGTAACAGAGCTGTTAGAAATATTGTCACACCCATGCTGTCTCTCATGTATTTATAAAGTCAAGTTTCTTTATCAAAATTTCACAATTCTCATCATCCAAGTTTAAATGTTAATCTTTTTTAATTAAAACTTTTTTTGATTACTTAGAATGCTTTCCCACCCTTGAGAAACAATCAAATTTCTAATGACACTGAATCATAATAATGCTTGTAATACAATTTTAAACTGAGCATGTGGCACAAATCCTGAATGTAATGTTTGTCATTTCAAACTATATGAAATATTTTTTTGTCTTTTGAATTTTGGCAATTGAGTATCTCCACTCCTGACATAAAAGCATGTTATGATGCTGTAAAATATTTATGTTCAACAAAAGCAGTAATAATCATATGTCTGCTGCTTAAAAGAACAGGAAAATATGTGAACACCATTCATGACATCCTAATATTGGGTCATCCAGGTGCTTTCTGGCAAATCAAAAATTTTCATGAATTTCATTTTTATCTACGTAAGTGCTTTTCTAATGATGGAATCTTGAACATCAATTTTAGCCAAGAGGAGAGAGTCCCCTGAATACTGGTATATACTATAGTTAAGAGTTGTGACTTCCCAAGTGATGTTATGCTGTACCTTGAAATTATACTCTGCCTTCTGAAAATTATCTCAAATGTTCTTCATTTAAGGATTGTATCACCATCAGTTGATGGAAATCCAGTGTTAGGAACTTACTTTGAGTGGAACATGACATATCTCTAGAACCTACCATTATAATAATGGAAGCTAAAGAATGTAATAATAGAGCAGATTCCTGAATCAGCACTTACTGTTTAATAAAGTATTTAAACAATATACTTTAATTATCTTTTAACTGAATTGACCAAACTAGGGAGATGATAGGGATTTCAATTGATATACTGCTTGTTTGATAACTCTTGATGAAATATATTAAAAAGTGCTAAATTTCTTTTGTTTGTTCAGACTCTATATATCACTAATCTTAATACTCAGTAGCAAAATATACATTAGGAAGAGTAAAACCTTGATAACCTTGTTAAGACTTTATTGCATTTGTCAAGAACAGAGGTCTTCAAAGTTGGCAACTTTAAGACTTGTGGACTTCAGCTTCCAGAATTCCTCAGCTAGCCATGCCGGCTGGGGAATTTTGGGAGTTGAAGTCCATAAGTCTTAAAGTTGCCAAGTCTGGAGACCCCTGTCAAGAACAAAAATCTACAGTATTCAGATTTATACAGTAACCAGTTAGACTATAAAGATATAGTGCTCTCCACAGGACTGCTGACCACCTTATATATTTGCAAGTAACCAAAATATATCACTGCAATAGTAAGGATACACAAAGAACCAAGCTGTGAAGAACATGCCAATGGCCAGGAGTACCACAGTGAGATGTGGAAACACAGCCGGATTCACCGGACTGGTGTATCTGCTCATTGTTTCAAGCTCCTGAAATAAAGAAAAAAAAAAGGGATGGGTGGGTGGTGAGACAAGAATATAAGACTATGAAGATTTAAGTATTATTTTTAATAGATGTTTTATTAAGAGAACTGCAGCAGGAGGCAAAGGAACTATTTCCCCCTGCCCCTCATGGATGTTGAGAAGGATGGACACAACAGTGAGAGCCAGTGAAGCTGTTGGCCTAGAAACCAGGAGACTGTGAGAGCTGGGCTTCCCTCTTCTGGACATGAAAGCCGGCTAGGAGGCTTTGGGCTAGTCCAGGGGTAGGCAACCTTGGCTCTTTTATGACTCGTGGACTTCAACTCCCAGAATTCCTGAGCCAGCACGCTGGCTCAGGAATTCTGGGAGTTGAAGTCCACGAGTCATAAAACAGCCAAGGTTGCCTACCCCTGGGCTAGTCATTCTCAGCCCAATCTACCTCATAGGGTTGTTGTTGTGGGGAAAATAGGAGGTGGGAGCATTAGGTAGGTTTTTAATATAAAAGAAAGAAAGAAAGAAAGAAAGAAAGAAAGAAAGAAAGAAAGAAAGAAAGAAAGAAAGAAAGAAAGAAAGAAAACAAACCACAACAGCCCTTTATCTGTTGATGCCCCTACAACAGTGTTTCTCAACCTTGACAATTTTAAGGCATGTGGACTTCAACTCCCAGAATTCCACAGCCAGCATTGCTGGCTGTGGAATTCTGGGAGTTGAAGTCCACATGCCTTAAAATTGTCAAGGTTGAGAAACACTGCCCTACAAGGACCCTCCCCGCCTTTTCCTTATCCTGAGGCCTGCAAGCCTCAGCTTGAGCCTCTTGGCCTCTCCACGGGAATGTAAAGTAAGGTCCATGGGAGGTCCAGCTTCTCTGTGTGAGCCTCTTTCTGTCTTTTGCACAAAGAGCCACCGGCCATCAACAGGAGGCCCCTGAAAAGCTTTCTCTGGGGTTACAGACGCGCCGGAACTGAGTCCGACAATCACCAACGGCCGCAGCCGGAAAAAGCCTCCATGCAAAAACAGCCGCCGACTTTCCCTCTCCCTGCCACTTACCATGGCTGCTGCGGCGGCGGCGGCGGCGGTTCCCGTTACAGAAGGACACGTCCGTTCTTTCCTGCCATCCTCGCTCCGCCCTTCCGTCTCCGGAGCGCTGCCTTGTCATCAGTCTCTCCAGCCGAAAGCTTGCTGGGAGTTGTGGTCCGCTTGGCTCTCTTGTAGTACGGGGGCGCACAAAGCTGTCGTCAGAACTACATCTCCCAGAAATCACTGCGCGGTCTCGTCTCTTGCAGCCCTGAGCGCGGGATTTAGAAGGCGCGAAGAGAGAGGAGTGGGGGAGCGCCGGGTTGGGGAGAGAGACGCAATTTAGTTCCCGCGCGGCGGACGGAGGGGCGCGTCAATCAAAGGCGGTGGGAGCCTGCTGGCCCGCTCGGAGGTAGAGGAAAGGTGCGGGACGAAGTTGCTTTTGCGGCTGTGCACAAAATCGAAAAAGGAGAGCTCTTTGCCAGGTAACGTGCTGGGTGTTGCCACTTATATTATTGCTATCATTCCAGTTGGCTTTTCTAATGGTGGACACATCAGGTTTGGCGCGGGATGGTGGAATTGCAAAACTGAATGTCTGAAGAGCCATTCATTTAGCAAGAGGCTTAGCGCTGGGTGGGCGGCTAAGTACTTGGAATCAATACGGCAAGTTTGGATCCACCTGGGTGGTTCTCCTATCTGGTTTCATGTGCGTGAACTCTGAATTCCCAGAGGCCGATTCGCCCTGCAGGCATTGCCCTTCGGACGAGCACAAGTCTTACCGACGACAATTTAGGTTTTGTTTCCCAGTGTGGTACCCTATGCTACTAGAAAAGTGAGGCCTCCACCGCTTTCTTCAGTTTCTACAGTCTTTGAGTTGTGGCTGACTATGAACAGTCGTCAGTAATTTTTCATGCTCCGTGATGATCATATCCTTTGGAAGAGGATTCTTTATAGCCTTTATTAGAAATAAATTATCTTAAAATGTGGCTATGCTATCTATAGCCATTCACTTGGCATGAACTGGCTGCAGTTAAAGTTTTCTTAATGCACCCCATTACAAATAATTACGTTTTTCTTGGGAGTAAAGTTATCAGTATGCTGCTTTTAACTCCCAACAACTCTGGGTGATTACAAATAAAAGCATTAAAACTAAGAAAACATATAGCAATAGATAAAAACCAAGGATGAAAATGAGAAGAGTGATGAAAACAACAATGGGAACAAAAAGAAACAAGCCCACAGAGTCCACAAGGGAAATGTAATTTCTTCCTAAAGTCCTTTGAAATGTCACTTAAGATAATTGATCTCTGTGATATTGATAAAAGATTATCAATACACTAAGAATATGTCTTGTTCCACTATGAGACTTGCTTGTTGTCATTTTAAAATTTACCTATTATTTTATTTCCTAGGTTTCTCCTCTATTATATTGCCTCAGATTCATAGACTGACCAGTCGAGATGGGAATCCATGGTTTGGCCAAGCTGATTGCAGATATGGCTCCTGGTGCCATTCGAGAAAATGACATCAAGAGCTATTTTGGGCGGAAAGTGGCCATTGATGCCTCTATGAGTATTTACCAGTTCCTAATTGCTGTACGACAGGGAGCTGACATGCTGCAGAATGAAGAAGGTGAGACTACAAGCCACCTGATGGGTATGTTCTACCGCACTATCCGCATGGTGGAAAATGGCATCAAGCCTGCCTATGTCTTTGATGGCAAACCCCCCCAGCTGAAATCGGGTGAATTGGCTAAGCGTACTGAGCGCCGGACTGAAGCAGAAAAGCAGCTGCAAGAGGCCAAAGAGATGGGTGAGGAGGAAAATATAGAAAAGTTCAGCAAGAGACTAGTTAAAGTGACTAAACAGCACAACGATGAATGTAAAAAATTGCTGACTTTGATGGGCATCCCATACGTAGATGCCCCTGGTGAAGCTGAAGCTAGCTGTGCTGCGCTGGTGAAAGGAAACAAGGTCTACGCAGCTGCCACTGAGGATATGGATTGCTTGACCTTTGGCAGCCCTGTGCTAATGCGGCATCTTACAGCGAGTGAGGCAAAGAAACTGCCCATTCAGGAATTTCATCTAAACCGTGTTCTCCAGGATATGAGCTTGAGCCAGAAAGAATTTGTGGACTTGTGTATATTACTAGGTTGTGATTACTGCGAAAGCATCCGTGGAATTGGACCCAAACGTGCAGTGGAACTCATCAGGCAGCACAAAAACATAGAGAAGATTATTCAGCAACTAGATGCTAAGAAGTATCCCGTGCCTGAGAACTGGCTGCACAAGGAGGCCCAAAAACTCTTCTTGGAGCCTGAAGTTGTAAACCCAGAAGAGGTGGAACTGAAGTGGAATGAGCCTGATGAGGAAGGACTGGTTAGCTTCATGTGTGGGGAGAAGCAATTCAATGAAGAAAGAATTCGTAATGGGATCAAGAGACTGAACAAGAGCCGACAGGGAAGCACTCAGGGCCGGCTGGATGATTTTTTCAAAGTGACCGGCTCGATTACCTCAGCTAAGCGTAAGGAGTCAGAGCCTAAGGGATCGGCCAAAAAGAAGGCCAAGAGTAGTGGTTCAGCAACATCAAAATTTAAGAAAGGGAAATAAAGTTCTAGAACTGTGCTAATTCTTCAACGCTCCACTTTTCCTTGGACAAAATATATTAAGCAGCAAATCCAGGCTCTCTTCCGTGACATACAATTGATTTACGATACTCAAAAAGTGAAAGAATTGGTTGCCCATTAACCAGCAATACTGCTGCATTCAGAAGATGTTTGGAATCTTTGGTCCTCAAAGTTTCTTGTTGAGAGCTACTGTCGCCTTGAGTATTATGAAATCTCAGTCATGCCACGTATGGTGTTTAATCTATTATTGTTAACGATAATGTGATGAAATGGCTTAATTTTGAGTTGCAGATTTCAATAAATATTGGCAACCTGCTAAATGTGCATAGATACTAAAATAAATTTTATAAGATTGCAATACAGTGTTTAGTAGAAATATCTGTGGTGTTCAGAAATGAACTGTTACAGCTGCTATTCAATAATCTGTTCACTAAAATACTTGTCAGATGGGATAGCTGTAGAGGTGATACATTAGCTTCTCATTCAGCCTTGTTTATCTTTGGCCCAAAAGGACTTTTGTCTTCAATGACAACAATTGCTTAGAAAGTTGATCATATCTGAGGATTAGAAAGTAATAGTAGTTGAAAACTGGCAGTAATGATAACTTGGCAGTGGGTAAAAAAACTTCAAAGGAAGTCAGAATCTTAAGAGAGTTTCATGTATACTTTACAGTACAATTGAAATTTTCATACTGGTCTTGGCATTTGATTTATAACATTTAACCCTGCATGGGTTAAAAATAAGCCATTTTAATTTTTTCAAATGTATATAATAAATCTCCATTTTCAATACTTGTTTTATATTATGCTTAAACAAAATGTACATTTAATGGCTCTATTACTTTAACACAGGCATATCAAATTCGCGACGTATCACGACTTTTCCCCCATTGCCGACAATAGGGTGGGCAGTTTCGGCGTGACGCATCTAGCCTGCCGGCTGGCAGTTTGACATGCCTGCTTTAACAAATCTTTTTAAACATTCATGAGAGATACCTACTTACGATTCAAGAAGAAAATTGTGAGTTTACATTTCTCTGGATGGAAAAGGAGCTTGGGTTGAATTCAGATAAAAATTAGAAATAAGGATTTCAGGATTAGATATTAGTTAAAATAAATTAGGATTTATTGTACAATGTCAAGACATAGTTTTAAATTGAATCTTGCCACTAAAAGAATTATTTGCATGGTTGTATGCAGGCATTAAAGCACAATGAGGCAAAAGAAATTCTATATTAATAGAATGCATGAAATGTAAAATGTTTTGTTTCAAATCCAATAAAAACCACATATTTCAGATGTGGTTTCATTTTGGGTTACTTATGATTCAGCATAAAATTTGGACTCTTAGATGTCCTGGATTTCAGAAAAAGCAAAATCTGGAGAGGCCCTAGAATTATTTTATGGAGTGAAGAAGACCTTTTTCTCCTCTCAACAGTTCACAGAATATATCCCACCAGCTTGCCCTCCCACCCTCCACCAATGCTGATGTCCCCACATAACTTTTCCCACTGATCTGATCTGCCTTAGGAGAAATCTAAGCTCTACCACAGGTTTACTACTTCTGAAGAGATTTCAGTCTACCTGTGATAGATCTTTCTTTGCTTCTCGTAGCTCGTAGTTGCAGATGAACTGGATAAAACTTTCAATTTCTTCTGATGCTCACATTGAAGCCTATCATAATGCATTGTGTTTTGCATGCTGCAATCCTCCATTGCTCTCAAAGAGCTGTAAATGCAAGAACTTCAACAATAGGCTTCTTTCCACCCAGTTTCCATTGATGGAGCAAATCATGACCTTGGACCTCTTGCCATTTCTTCAAAATACATTAGATGTCTAATATTTCTATATGGTTCTCCCTTCCAGAAAAATCTAGTTTACAATATTATAATCTCCCTCCAAGAAAATCCTTAAAAAATAAACCACTGATTCAAAAAAAATAAAAATATCATTCTAAGACTAAGCCAGTTTTTAGCTTGGTTTCTTCAGAAAGAAGGAGCTATTGATTGTAAGTATTAACTATTAACAGTATGTATAAATTGCTGAGAAGTACAATACTTGTTTCTGAGTTTCCTACAGCAGGGGTGTCAAACTCGCAACGTCACGTGTCGTTTCACGACGTATCGCAACTTTTTTTCCATTGCCAGCAATGGGTGGGCGCGTTTTCGGCATGACGCATCCGGCCTGTGGACCGGCAGTTTGACACCCTTGTCCTACAGCAGTGATGGCGAACCTTTTAGAGACCGAGTGCCCAAACTGCAACCCCAAACCCACTTATGCTTTGTCGGGTGCTGGGTGGGTGTGGCCCATTGGGTGGGTGTGGCCCATTGGGTGGGTGTGGCCCATTGGGTGGGCATGGCTGCGGTGGTAACGGCAGACTGGGTGGGACTAAAAAGTTCAATCAATCAGTTCCAACATTGCAAGATCTTTTTTTTCCTGCGAGAAGTTGAAATTGACTCATTGATTGAACCTTTTTTTTTTTTTTTGCACACAGCGGCGGAAGCCTAAAGCAAAAAGGTTTTATAAACCCAGCTGAAGGCCTAGGACTGAGGCGACGGCGCGCGTGCCCACAGAGAGGGTTCTGAGTGCCGCCTCTGGCACCCTTGCCATAGGTTCGCCACCACTGTCCTACAGCAAGCTGAACAACCCCTTAGAAGTAAAAATTGTTTTGTCTTGTTGAAAACTTAATTTTATCTAAGCAGAAGTTTTAACTATGGTTCAGATAGAAGCTTCATCCTCCTGAAGTGAGCATTACTCAAATGGCAGAATGAGGTCAGAATGTAATTATTGAATGCCAGTCTTTAACAAACCGACGGAATAATCAGGTTTTTTGAACATTTAATTCTGCATGATGTTGACTCTGGTAGATGGTGCTCCATTCTCCCAATTCTTTGACCTCTCGGATGGTGAATATCGTAATTTCCTCAGATAAAGTGCATTGCCTCAGGATCTATGACTCAACCTCTGTTGTGATGGCATTAAGAAATGTCTAATGTCCAAACCTATTTCTGGCCAGAAAAGTAAAAATCAAGGTCAGTGGAAAATTAAATATAAATAAAGCAACTTCACCTACCAAAAGTACAGGAGCAGCTTTACTACCTTTCTAAGGCCTTAGAGGAAGTTGAGGTTTGTTGGTTATCCTGTTGCGTTAATTCATTACACACTTATATTTTACCTTGAGGATATATGAAATTGTGGATTGAAAGAAATGAGACAGCAAATCCATGGGATTATTTTGCAGTTGCATGTAGTGTTGCAACACAAATACTACTTACATCATGGCATCCCAATGAATGCTCTGCCATTACTGTATAGTATTGATCCCTAGACTTTTGCAATGGAGGTCTGACGGTACTGACCACATAAAGCAGTGGTTCTCAACCTTTTTAATGCCGTGACCCCAACCGGTCGTAAGTCGAGGACTAGACCGGTCGTAAGTCGAGGACTAAACCGGTCGTAAGTCGAGGACTTTCCCTGCCCAGGAGCGCCGTGCATGCATGGTTCCGCCCCCTGCGCCGGCCGAGGCGTAGCTGGCAAGCGGCAGAGACGGAGCAGGCCGACCACCAGTTGGCCCAGCCCAAGGGAGGTAAGGCACCTGCCGGAAAAGGGGAAAAAATGGTGGACAAAAAAAATGGCGGACAGCCTTGCTTGGCGACCCCTGTGAAATGGTGGATCGACCCCAAATGGGGTCCCGACCCACAGGTTGAGAACCATTGACATAAAGGATTTGGGGTGGGAATGGGATTAAATCAGAAGACCATAATTACAAGAGCTACAGGTTTGCTTGAACTGTTATTTGATTTAGTAATTATGTTGTGTTTAGATAAAAATAAAGGTTGTTCTACTAAGTCTGCCCTTCCCTTTTAATAAAACCATGATAATATGTCTGTTTAGAATACAGGTTGGACATTTTCATACATGGTGATGTGAAAACCATCGCCATTATTCTAAAATGGGGGACTGACAAGACAGGACATTTTCATACATGGTGATGTGAAAACCATCGCCATTATTCTAAAATGGGGGACTGATAAGACAGGACTGTCTGTTGCTTTTTTTTTTCTTCAGGCAAGGCTCAAATCTCCACAAGTGCATATCCAACTTAAAACTAATCCTTCATTTAAGGTGAACATGGTCCAATGAGGCATCAGTTCTCATACTGAAATCAAGATACTTCCACAAAGAGGCTTTCCTCAAACTAAACAGGAAAGGGCAAATATTAATACCTGGGTCTTTGGTAAAGCAGTTAGGCTTAGTCTGATGTTGAGTTCCAGAGATTCTGACAGTCGGCTGAGGCACCCTTTTGGAAGAAAAGGGTCAAATCACCTTATAGCTCAAAATGATTCAGAGCTAATCTATACCATCAACTGTAGAAGTTTTAATACAAAAAAAAAGACTTGCATGTTGTTAGATTCAAAACTAGACTGATCAGGCATCAATTCTCCAATCAGCAGAGAATTTAACATCTTTGTCATAAATGATTGATTGACATTGAGTTCTTCAAAGACATGCTACAAGTTTAAGGAGAAAAGGAGGGGAATGTTGCTGTAAGAAATACTAGATGAATATGACCGATCCCTACCCAGATATAGCTTCTTCTCGCCCCATTATTTTCCTTGGAAACTAAAAAAAAAAAGTGTCCTCCAGTGCCTTGTTGTAGAAATGTGTTCAGCTGCCCAGAATATAAATAAATAAATATAAATATTATATATATATACTTAATAACATTAAAAATGTGAATCCTGGGCATACACATATCAATAAAATATAGAAAAAATGAACACCAGGATAAAAGTAAAATAAACCTGTTTAATACAAACAAGTTTGTAAATAAAAGAGTTATCAAGCTTTCATCTGCCCGACTGCCGACGTCATCAGGGTTGGAATGCTAGGTGATTAGGGAGCTTGCCTATATAGCTACCTGTCTCTGTGCCCGGCTTCTCGAGCGCGTAATCGGCCCATTAGTTGTATTAATCTGCAACGTGCTAAGTTGATTCACATGCGGCAGTCTGTTGGTGGACCCGGTAGTTATGCCCAGATCTTCCATTTATAGCGCGCGTGCGACAGCCGTCCCCCATTATGTCCTGGAATAGAAGCTTAAATTTCCTTCCCAACTCTCTAAGGGTAGGGAGACTTACAAGTTCATGTTAGCTCACTCAGACAGCAACAGACCATATATTTCCAATTGTTTACTGGTAGTCCGTGTTTAGCAAGAATAATTGGGATTGGCAGCCTGGTTGTTAAATGAAGCAATCGCTAAGTGAAATATAATTTTACTTCAGCTTTCCTTTGCTTTATAGACCTCAGAAGATCATAAACGCAAGGATTGGTTGCAAAGTTACTTTTTCATCATGATTATTAGAAACTAGCTGTACCCGACCACGCGTTGCTGTGGCTCAGTCTGGTAAAAGCGTGTGTTGCTTTTACGTCCAACAGATGGTGCTGTTTTTCAAAAAAAGCATGTTTTTACCTGTCACAGGTGTGACATCTATATAATATAGGTATATAAATGCAACGAATGCAACGTTATGTCAAAATTTCAAAGCAATCGGTGAACTTTCGGAGATTTAAGATTTTAAACAAACGAACATTTACATTTTTATTTATATAGATCAGTGGTTCTCAACCTGTGGGTCGGGACCCCATTTGGGGTCGATCGACCATTTCATGGGGGTCGCCAAGCAATGCTGTCCGCCATTTTTTTTGTACGCCATTTTTTTGTACGCCATTTTTCCCCCTTT